GTTACAGTCCTCGGCGCAAGTTTTGCTGGACCCTGCCCTCTGTGCCTCTTGGCTGCCCTGTCCAAACTCAGTCTCCGATGGTTGGCCAGGCAGTTGCTCGGGCAGCCGGGTCCTTGGTGTGTGTGGGTCTCTGTGCCATGGGTGCTCCAGACTCTGGTTCCAGGCTGGCTTCACGTTTTGCTGGTCCCTGTGGGGTACCTGCCCTTGGGTCATTGGGCCCCAGTCTGGGGCAAGGTAAGTTTCTGCCCACACTTCCTGGTGGATGTGGGCAGCCTCAGAATGGCCTGGTTCTAGCCCTCTGTCCCAAGCCCTCCTGTTGGCCTCCACCACCTCACAGGGCCCTCGCTCTTGGGGCACTGTCCTGGGGTCTTGGCCAGTGGAGGCGAGCAGTGTTTTTCAGCCTCTTGACAGCATGATACCTGGGGAGTCTGATAAGGTCTCCATGGCATCCAGGGCGTGGCTGGCGGGCCAGTGGAGACTGGTCTTGGCAGCGGCCCTCTCCAGGTGTCAGTACACCTGGCCCCCCTGCTGTCTGTGGCCCCAAGTGTTCTTGCACTGTCCCCCTCTCCCCTGCTCACCGAGCCCTCCCCACCCACCTGCACGTGGCCAGGAGAGCCCCTTGATTCACTAGTCCCCACCCCCACCTAGTTCCAGGGGTGCAGGTGGGCCCAGCTCAGAGCAGGAAGTGGAGGGGAGAGGGGCTCTGTGCCCTGCATTTCACCCCTTGTGGGGCACAGCCTGCTTCCGCCTGGAAGGAGGGGCATGGCCGGCTTATGACCACTCACAGGGGGAGAACAACCCCCTCAGCCGCTTCTCTCTGCCTGCCCCTGGGGTCCTAGCTCTGGGGGCCCAGGGAGCCAACCAGCTGCCACACCCATAGGCTCCTCCTCTGCCCTCAAGCTAGATCTCCTGTCCCCCACCAACCCTCGCCCACCCGCCTCCAGGAAGGCCCTCCTCATCGCTGTCACCTGGGTCCCTTGACTGCCCCTCCCCCACCTGTGAGGAAGGGGTCCCCACCCTGGTTCAGCCCCCTGCTGAGGCCAGGAGTCAGGTCCTAGACAGCCTCGCAGGCGGGAGCATGTTCCGCTGACTCAGCGCGGAAAGTCCTCACGGGCAGCCAGCCGGCGTGGGAGGAGTGCCCGGAAAGTCAGCCCGTGGGCGGGGAGGTGACGCCAGGTGGTGGGGTGATGTGGAGCGAGTGGGGGATTCCTGCTCTGCAGCGGGAAGGGGACAGGGGGATTTGCCCAGCTCAGTGCAGGGCCTGGAAGAGGGAGGCCAGGCTTGCGGGGGGGTGGGTGGCGAGGACGACTCAGGGAGCCCCTGCCACTGGACTGGGCCCACCCTCCACGCTCCCCTCCTCCCTACAGAGTGCCTCTGCCCCACCAGGCCTGCCCACTACTGGTCACCCCAGCTCCCTCCGCTCACTCCCTGTTCTCCCCACTCCTGGACTCACGTCCCTCCCTGGCAGCCTCCTGGGAGCTGATAGCAGGCTGGACCTGAGTTGAACTGAGGCGCCCCAGCTGAAATCCTAGAGCAGGAAGGGGTGTGGAGGGGCTCGGTTAAGGGGAGGCAGGAGGCTCAGGTGGGTTGCCCAGGGCCGGGTGTGCCCAGGGGAGGCTTGAGCAAGTCCAGGTTGGGAGGAGGGAGGCCCTGGGTGGGCCTGGGAGGCAGAGCTCAGGGCAGCGGGAGGCACAGGAGACTCAAGAGTGCTGATATGTGGGGGACGGAGGGGGCTGGTGTGTTGAGGGGCTCCCACCCCCTCCTGCTCAGCCCAGTGTGCTGGGATGGGCACAGGTATAGGTCACCAAGCCCAAGAATGACCCGAAGATTAGATTCTGCCCAGGCCAGCTCCAGCCCCTTGCTGCTCCCCCCTGGGAACTCCCCAACCGCAACCAGAGAGGCTCTCCAGCTGCTTAGCTCCTCCCTGGTCAGGCTCCAGGGTGTGTGTGCAGCCTCAGATAAGGGCCCAGAGGCCATCCTCTGTTCCCAGAAGTGCTTCCGGCCACAGCAGCGTCCCACCCAGCCACAGCACCTCACCTTGTTTGAAAAGGCCCCTGACCGCCCACCCCCTCCTTCCCTGAGATCTGGACTCAGACAGTGTGGGACACCCTCCCAAGCACACACACCCACCCACAGTGGGCATAGGGAGGGAACCTGTCCTAGACAGAACCGGATGTCTGCCCTCCCTCGGCCCCAGTCCTAAGGCAGCTTCAGGGGGCTGTCCAAGGGCAGGTGGCCCCTGCCTGCCCCCTCACCAATCAGATAGGTCCATGATGCTAAGTCTGGCCATTCAAGGGCCCTGACCTGGAACTGGGGCCATCACTCCCCTCAGTCCCCACCATGGTTTCAGCACCATGGCCTCTCCTCTGCAACTGGGCTGAGCTCTGGCTCTGCAGTGGTTTTCAGGGCTCCACTTCCCAATAAGTGGCCATGCTCCATGGAGAGGAGTCTTTCCAGAGACATTTATTTGGGCCATGGCTGTTCCAACCCCTCTATTTGGAGACACATTGCAGGAAGAGGGGTTTGAAGGGGGTCCTCTGAGTCCTGTGGGCTCTTTAGTGGAAACATATTCCTGCCAGGGACTGCAGGAGGATCCAGAGGGGGGCAAGGGTGTGGCCATCACCTCTGGGGATGAACGAGCAGCAAGATAACTTCACTTATTGTCACCCAGGTTCTCCAGGTACCAGGGGCCCAAGAGCTACAGACAGTCCAGGGTTTAGGGTTGCCTGGGGGTGGGGGCCCAGTAAGGACATGCGCGTCTCACCCCACCATGGTCCCTGGGGGCCACTGCACCCACTCAGAGTGGAGGCCTCAGGCCAGCTTCCCCTCGAGTGTCGGGTCATCTCTGCAGATACTGCCTTGACCGGCTGGGGATCAGTCCTGCTGGAGGAGAGCTGGAACATCCAGGGGGCAGCACTGTTCTACCATGGGCCAAGTCATGAGCCCCAGGACAGCGTGGGCGAAGGCCCTGTGGGCAGGATGTGAGGAAGGGGCAGAAGAGGCCTGGAGGCTGAGACACGGGGTACATCGAGGCCCCTCAGGGGCGACCAGGGGCTGAGCCTGCAGTGACATGGCTGTGCAGTGACCTTCACCCCAGTAAGGAAAGACTGGTACAGATCCTGAAGACTCTGATGTGGGTGCGCTCTGCCCACCCAGGGGGCCACCTCTCCCTGATGGAGACTAGTTTTCACCCTCCCCAGCCTGGGGGTGCAGAGCTGGCCACTGGGTTGCGGAAGTGGCAGTGCTGAGCTTGATGCCTCATGGAGAGCCCATCAGACACCCTGGGTGGGCTTGTCACACGGTGACAAGCGTGCTTCTGGCCTGGGGACCCTACACTCGTGGCCACAGCAGCAGGACGAGGAGGGAGTGCAGTGGTGGGGATGCGTGGGTGAGCTGTAAGTGACAGGGCAGCTTGGTCCTGGCCTGGGCCCTCACTGGCTCTGTGACCCGGGAGGACTGTCTCTACCTCTCAGCCCCAGGTTTCATTTGGCTCTTCTCTCCCTGACTCCCTGACTGACTGCACATCTCCGTGGACTGGCCAGTGGCTCAGCTGCCCTCTAGCTTGCTCTGGCCCTTGCTCCCTTGGGAAAGGAGTGGGAGGGGCAATGGGGGAGGGGAAGACAAGCCCCATTGCCCCTTAGGTCCTACCCACACTCCAATGCAGAGCAGAACAAGGGTCCCAGCAGCCCCTCCCACCTGTGGTGGAGCCCACTGGGGTCACGAGTGAGGGTGGGCAGGCAGGGGGAGGGCATGTGACTTGGTGATGACTGATGAGAAAGGGGAGGGCGGGGTATGTGAAAGGCAGTGCAGGAGGAGCCGTGCCAGCTGCCGTGGGCATAGGGGTGGGTCTGGACTGGGGTCGGTGTGGGATGGTGGGTGTGGAGAGGGGATTATGGCTGGTCCAGGATGCTTGGTGGTAGCGGGTTTCTCCCAGCAGCCTCGAGGTTGGGGCCACAAGGAACGTGGGGACATGCTGGCTTGGCACACCCCTCAGGGCGCCTTCCTGCACGCCCACGCACCTGTTGCCCACAGCCTGAGTCCTTGGGCCTCAGCCACCACAGGCCTCTGCGATGCTCTGCCTGCTGTATAGCTCCCACCGTGGCACCGTTGGGGAGCTCAGGGCCCTGGTGCTCTGAAGCCCCAGAGAGGAGCTGAGCCTGGGCAGGGTGGGGCCTGGTGTGAAAAAACACTCCTATGGGGATCTGGAGGGGCCCCTGGGGACTCAGACCCTTGCCTGGGAGACACTGGCTGCCTTTCCCAGGGACCGCAGACTAGGCAGCCGGGGTAGGTGACCTGTGAGGTTGCAGGGGCCCAGGGTCCGGATTGAGGCCAGCTATAGGTGACGCGTGGGGGCCCAGAAACTGGAGAGCTGCACTAGATGAAAGCAGCCCATGGTGGGCAAAGTAAGGGGTTCAGATTCGGCGGCTCATCCCTCGACCCCCATGTTCCCCCAAGAACGGGTCCCAGCAGTGAAGTAGCGGCTCGCGGGGTTCAGGGAGGCTGCCAGCGGGGGTCTTGGGGCCGGGCGTGCGGGGCAGAGGCTGTGCTTGTAACAAAGTAGCTTTTATAGGTCCCTGGGAGAGAGCTGGTAGCTGGCCCGCTAGGAGCCGCGATGGCCCGCGTTCTTGCGCTCCTCTTCTGCCGGCCCCGGGGAAAGCTCCCGTAGCCGGTCCTCGTCGCCCACTCGCGGCTGCTCACCGCCCTGGGCCTCGGGGCCTCCACTCAGGGCGCCGTCGGGGGCGGGGATGGGAGGCCTGGGGCGCCGCTGCGCGGAGGAGGGCCACCCTGGCCCTCCGCCGAGGCCCCGGTGTGGCGCGGGCCTGCACGCACCCGGTCTGTCGGTGGCGCGGAGCAGGGGTGGCTCGAGGGGCGCGGCGTCGCAGGTGGGCCGAAGTGGGGGCAGCGGCGGGCGGGGGACGTTGCGGGAGCCCCCCAGGCACGGCCATAGGTCCGTCTCGCCGTTGTGCAGGAGCACGAAGCGGCGCTGGGACAGCAGTGGTAGCATCTTTTCGCTGCGTAGGCTCTTCTGGAAGGTCTCGAGCGCCAGGTCTGAGGAGGAGTCGGGGGTGATCGGGATGCAGAGCGGGGAAGGGCGGTGGGGGGACCCCCCCACCCCGTCTGGAGGTGACAGGGTGGTGAGGGGTGGGATGGCACCACGCTGGCGGGGAGGCGGGGGCATGAGCAGAGGCTGGGGTTGCCACGCAGCCCTCAGGGTGCTGGAGAACTGGGTTTGTGGGCGTCTGAACTTGCAGAGAGCATGTGCAGGCAGAGGGGGGCAGTTTGAGGGTCCTGGGGGGTGGCTCACCCAGGGTCTCCATGACCACGCCGGGAATCACTTCTTTCAGGACTTCACAGTTGGTGTGCAGGGCGGGGTTGGAGTTCATTTCCAGCAGCCACACCTGGGCCCAACACTGCTCAGCATCCCGCCCCACCTACCACTTGGCCAGGAGAAAGCTGAGACCCTGGTCCCCATTAAGCCAGGTGACCATCAGGTCACTTCTTTTCCATGACCTCACTCCCCCAGTTGCCCAAGGGGCTGAGACTCTTGAGGGTCTGAGAGTCTGGCCTTAGGAGACACCCCAGCTGTAGGAGGAGTGAAACCTTATGGGCACACCACCCCCAGGGCTAGGGAGGGCACCTGACTGCCCACCCCAGGGGCCTGCCTGAGTGGTCAGGAGTGCACAGAGGGCCCCTGCCTCCTGCACCTGCCTGCCAGGCCCACCCCCCTGGAAAGCCTCAGCAGCACCTTAAAGTTTTCATCGATCAAGAAGTCACAGCCAATGAGGTCAAAGTAGCCCAGCTTGCACTCCAGCTTGGCTTTGACGGCCAGGAAACAGTGGGCCATGATCTGCTGCATTCGCTTCTGTGGGTGGGGCGGGGTGGCGGGGATAGGACGTCACCTGTGGGCCTTGATTACACCCTCCAAGCCTGAGCAGCCACAGCCCATCCCTCACCTGTGCTCCCACCGTGCCCATACTGTCACATTTTCAGGGTCACAGGCTTACAGCCAGAAACTCCTTCACTCTCATTTTATGCACCCAACAAACGTATGGCCCTCCTATTGTGTGACAGGTACTGGACTGGTGTGGCAGGAGAGTGGAGAGAGCTTCCGAGGAGTCTCTGCCCTTGAGCACTTCACTTGTCGGAGAGACAAAAAACTTGATGTGTAAATCATTATGCACTTTGTATGGTGCACAAAGCCACACATGCTAAAGCAGGGGAAGCTAAACAGGGTGAGAGGTGGGGGGTTCGGGGTGGTGGGGAAAGGGGTATGATCCAGGTGGGCCTCATTGAGAAGAGAGTGAGTAACAGGTGAAGATGGAAGGGGGGAGCTGTGGGATGGGGATGGGACACCTGGCAGGAGCAACAGCTCTAAGTTCGAGCAGCCCAAGGTGTCAGAGGACCAGGGTGATGCTGCTGTGGCTGGAGCAAGCTAGGGAGCAGCAGGAGATGAGACCGGAGTGGCACCAGTCACTTCTCAGGGTGTGGGAAGACCTTGTCTTTCACCCTGAGATCAGAGCTGTGGAAGGTGGTGCACAGGAGGGCGTATCTGACCTGTGCCCTCACAGGGTCCTCAGGTTGCTATGCTGAGAGAGACTGAAGGGGCCTGTTGCAAGGGTCTAGGTGACAAATATGCTGGCTTGTAGAAGCCGAGGTGGTAGGATGGATGCTAGGTCTATTTTGGGGTAAAGCCAATGCAACTGATGAAAGGATGTGAGCTGTGAAACAAGAATGAAGGGCTATCTCTAGATGTTTGGTCTGAGACTCTGGGAGGATGGAGCCCTCATCAGCCGAGAAGGAGAGGAGGCCCTGGAGGCTGAGACCTCTGTGAGCTTGCAGACGGGGTGCTGATAGGCTTTAGTTCAAGATTAGAAGAGTGGTTAGGGTCCATGTTTAATATGGAATCTTAAGTACCTAGATGGAATTTAAAGTCAGGGGATATCTGAGAAAGAGAAATGTCATATGACATCCCGTATATAAGCAATGATACAGACGAACTTACAAAACAGAAAGAGACCCACAGACTTAGAGAACAAACATGGTTGCTGGTGGAATGGAGCGGGGAAGGGGTAGTTAGGGAGTTTGGGATGGTCATGTACACTCTGTTATATTTAAAATGGAAAACCAACAAGGACCTACTGTATAGCACAAATAACTCTGCCCAATATTATGTGGCAGCATGGATGGGAGGTGAATTTGGGGGAGAATGGATACATGTATAGATTCAGCTGAATTCCTTTGCTATTCACCAGAAACTATCACAGCATTGTTTGTTAATTGGCTTTACCCCAATACAAAATAAGGAGTTTTTAAAAAAATAAAGTCAAGTGATATCTGATAAAGACAAAGAGTAGATAAAAGCAGATAAAGAGTAGAGCCAGGCTGGACACTGGGCTCCAGAGGGCCATGGTGGGGAGCCCCACAGGGGGCTAAGAGGAAGTGAGCAAGGTCCTGGAAGCCTTGGGGAGTGAGGAGCTATGTCCAAAGTTGGCTGACAGGTCAGGGAGAAGAGGACCAGGGCTGACCCCTGAGTTTGACAACATGGAGGTCACTCTGGTGAGTGTTTCAGTGAGACAACAGGGAGAAGCCTTGCTGAGCAGGATCAAGAGAGACGAGAGCATCACAAAATGGGCAGAAGAAGGGGTCCAGAGATAAGCCATTCCATAAAAACAACTAGGCCAAATTTGTCAAAATTAACCTTAGAATGCTGGAAATTAACCAAAAGTGTTCAGCCACCTGAAGAATGTTTATTCAAATAGAATCTCGCATCTTGGTAGGAACAGCAAGTTTTGTAGTAGTTTAACCTGTTCTAGTACTATTCCCTGCATCCCAGCTCAATGCCTTGAAAAAAGCCTACATTCTTGGTACTGGAGATAGCAGGATTAATCTGTTTGGCAGAGGAGTATAGTCATTTGTTGTGATGTCTGATGTTTCCTTGGAAGACCTCACTTGAACTAAAGGAAAATACAGGAACAATGTCTTACCAATAGAGAATATCAGTGAAGAGACAGAAATTATAAACGAGAGCTGAACAGAAATTCTGGAGTTGAAAAGTATAATAATTGAACAAGACATTTGAGTTGTTTGAAGATAGATCAGTTGAGATTATCCAGTCTAAGGAACAGAAAGTCAAAGGAATGAAGAAAAATGAAGTTACAGAGATCTATGGAAGGAGATCTAGAAAGAGAGTAAAGGAAGAGGCAGGAAGAATATTTAAAGAAATAATGGTAGTGGGACTTCTCAAATTTGATGAAAAATAATTTACACATTTAAGGCCAATGAGCTTCAAGTAGGATAAGCTCAAAAAGATCCATGATATTATAAGCAAACTTTTAAAAGACAAAGACAAACAGAGGATGTTGAAATCAGCAAATAGAAGTGACTTATCATAGGGCTCCTCAATAAGATGAGCAACCAATTTCCCATTAAAAACCATGGAGTCCAGAAGGCAGTGGGTTGACATGTTCAAAATACTGAAAGAAAAATAAAACTGTCAACCAAGAATTGTATATACAGCAAAATTATCCTTCAAAAATAAAAAAGAAATTAAGACATTCCCAAATTTAAAAAACATAGATTATCAGTAGTAGAACATTTCTACAGTCCTTTGGACTGAAATGAGAGGACACTAGACAATAATTTGAATTCACATTAAGAAATTAAGAGCATCCATGAAGTAACTACATCAGTTCAGTTCAGTTACTCAGTTGTGTCCAACTCTGCAAGTCCATGGACTGCACGCAGCATGCCAGGCTTCCCTGTCCATCACAAACTCCTGGAGCTTGCTCAAACTCATGTCCATCAAGTCAGTGATACCTTCCAACCATCTCATCCTCTGTTGTCCCCTTCTCCTCCTGCCTTCAATCTTTCCTAGCGTCAGTGTCTTTTCTGATGAGTCTGTTCTTCGCATCAGCTGGCCAAAGTGTTGGAGGTTCAGCATCAGTCCTTCCAATGAATATTCAGGACTGATTTCCTTTAGGATTGACTGGTTGTATCTCCTTGCAGTCCAAGGGACTCTGAAGAGTCTTCTCCAACACCACAGTTCAAAAGCCTCAATTCTTCGGCACTCAGCTTTCTTTATGGTCCAACTCTCACATCCATATATGACTGCTGGAAAAACCATAGCTTTGACTAGATGGACCTTTGTCAGCAAAGTCAAGTCTCTGCTCTTTAATATACTGTCTAGTTTGATCATAGCTTTTCTTCCAAGGAGCAAGCATCTTTTAATTTCGTGGCTTTAGTCACCATCTGCAGTGATTTTGGAGCCCAAGAAAATAAAGTCTGTCACTGTTCCCATTGTTTTATAAGTAACTACATAGTTAAATATAAAAGACACTACACATTTATTTTTTGATAATTGCCTTTTTCCTTCTGTTTTATTTAAAAGACAATTGCATAAAACAATAACTATGAATCTATGCTGATGGACAGTAACAGCATAAATGAAGAGATAGAGCTATATAGGAAAAAATTTTAAAAAACCACTATTGAAATTAACTTGGTTTGAATCCAAACTAGATAGTTTTAAATTAAGATGTTAATGGTAATCCCAAGGGCAGCAATAGGAAAATAACTCGAAAATGTATAGTGAAATGTATACTAGAAATGTATACTAGAAATGGTACATTAGAAAATATTTAACACAGAAGTAGGTAGTAATGGAGAAACAAACAAAAAGATATAAGATATATAGAAAATGGCAAAAGATCAGATGTAAATCCTAACTTATCAGTAATTATATTAAATGTAAATGGATTAAGCTTTCCAATAAAAGACAAAGATTGGCAGAATGCATCCCCTCACCTCCCAGATGCTTTCTGTGAGACTCACTTTAGATTCAAAGACAAAGATAGATTGAAAGTCAAAGAATAAAAAAAAAGATATATCAGGCAAAAAGTAACCAAAAGAGATATGGAACATCTGTACAAATATCAGAGAAAATAGAGTTTAAGATGAAAATTGAAGACATTAAGAAAAAAAGAATATTTTCTAATGATAAATCAAGAATATGTAATAATTATACATTCACCTAACAACAGAGCCTGAAAATATATGAAGCAAAAACTGACAGAACTGAAAGAAATAGACGATTCAAGAATAATAGTTGGGGACTTCATTATGCCATTTTCAATGATAGAACAGCTATACAGAAGATCAATAAGTAAATACAAGACTTGAACAACACTATAAATCACCTACCCTGAAAGATATCTATAGAACTCTCCACTCAACAGCAGACTACACATTCTTCTGCAGTGTGCATGGAACATTTTTTAGGATAGAGAGTATGTTGAAACATAAAATAGGGACTTCACTGGTGGTCCAGTGGTTAAGAATCTATCTGCCAAGGCAGAGGACATGGGTTTGATCTCTGAACCAGGAAGATCCCACATGCCAAGGGGCAACTAAATCTATACACCACAGCTACTGAGTCCCTGCTCTAGAGCCTGTACTCCGCAACAAGAGAAGCCACCACAATGAGAAGCTTGTGCATCACAACAAAGAGTAGTCCCCACTCACTGCAAGTAGAGAAAGTCCTCACTCAGCAACGAAGACTCAGTGCAGCCAAAACAAAAAACATGAAACAAGTTTCAATACTTTTTAAAGGGTTGAATTCATGTAAAGTATGTTTTCTGACCACAACGGAATGAAATTAGAAATCAGTAGGAGAAAGAAAATTAGAAAATTCACAAATGTGTGGAAGATAACACATTCTTAAGCAACAAATGAAAGCAGAATGCACAAAATCTCATGGGATGCAGTAAAAGCAGTACTCAAAGGGAAATTTATGACTGTAAATGCCTATATTAAACAGGAAGAAAGATCTCAAATCAAATCAATAACCCAATCTTCAACCTTAAGGAAAAAAAAAAGAAAACTAAATCCAAAGCAAGTAGAAGGAAGGCAATAATAAAAATTAGAGTGAGTATAAGTGGAATTAGAGAATAGAAAGCAATAGAGAAAATCAATGAAACCAAAAGCTGGCTCTTTGAAAAAATCAACAAAACTGACAAACCCTTAGCTAAACTGACCAAGAAAGAGAGGAAAGAAGATTTAAATTACTAAAATCCAGAAAGAAAGACCTTGGGGCTTTCCTGGTGGTCCAGTGGTTAAGACTCTATGCTGTCAGTGCAGGGGGCATGGGTTTGATACCTGGCCCTGGTGGCTCAGACGGTAGTCTGCCCACAATGCAGGAGATCCAGGTTCGATCCCTGGCTCAGAAAGATCCCCTGGAGAAGGAAATGGCAACCCACTCCAGTATTCTTGCCTGGAAAATTCCATGGACAGAGGAGCCTGGTGGGCTTCAGTCCATGGGGTTGCGAAGAGTTGGACATGAGTGAGTGACTAACACTTTCACTTTCAATGTCAGGGAACTAAGATACAATATGCCAGGTGGTGTGGCCAAAAGAGTAAAAAAAAATTGTTTTTAAAAGAAAGACTTTACATAAAGATGAAAATGGTTATGAAAAGGATTATAATCGTTCATAGAATACCATAAGCAACCTATATTCCAAAGAAATTAGGTAACTTAGAAGAATGGAAAAATTCCTAGAAAGACAAACTGATAAACTTGACCCAAGAAGAAATAGATAATCTTAGTTACCTCTAACAAATAAAGGTTGAGTTAGCAAAATGGATTAAAGATCTAAATGTAAGACCAGAAACTATAAAACTCCTAGAGGAGAACATAGGCAAAACACTCTCCGACATAAATCACAGCAGGATCCTCTATGACCCACATCCCAGAATTT